GCTTGCCCAACGAAGCAGTAGTCGCCATAATGTGTCCAACTCGAACCGGGTTGGCCAAACTCTGTGTATAGATGGCTCTGCCGAAACATCCCATCTAGCGCCAACTCAGGTCAGCTGTTGCAAATGTATCTGTCAATTTCTAAATAACAATAACAACAATAATACCAAACGAGTGTTAACATTGGCCGAGAGTTAAAAAGAGACAAGGCATTGTAAGGATGACTTGTATAAAGAACACGTCAGCAAACTTTCGACGAATCAACGCAAGGGCAATTTCAAAACTCTATCGTATATCCTTTAAAAATCATGTTCTGATTACGCAATACGCCTTTGTAATGTTCACCCATTTCAATTGATGCTGCCCTTTCCTTTATAGGTTCCTGTTTTCCTTCCTCGAAAGTAGTTTCGAGCGTGTTAAATGACATGAAGTCGGATTCCTGAAGAGAGATTTTTAGGACCCCCCCCCCTTTTTTTTTTGCTTGGTCTTCTATTTTTTTTATCTCTCTTATGTTAATATGTGGTAGGCCAAAGATCAAAGAAAATAAAGTTATTTTCGAATAGTGCTCAATTGGATGAACTGACACTAAAAAAATTATTACCAAAACAAAACTAATTATTATAATATTTACCTTAATTTAGCATTCTTTTTTTGATTGCTTTCTTTGCATCTCGGCACGGTCACTTGTTCCATTTCGTAAATTGGTAAATTCCGACAACAATATACAACCAATCAAAAACACATGTCACAATTGACGAAAGAGAAAGGTTTGTGCAACACAACTGCTTTACCCATTCCAATATTGGTTACCACCAGGGGCGTACGCAGGGGGGGGGGGGGGTTCGGGGGTTCAAACCCCCCCCCCTTTGTTTTGTTTTGTTTTTGTTTTTGTTTTGTTTTTTTTTTTTTAAATTATGCCCACGGCTAACGTAAAGTGACCTTACCCCCCCCCCCCCCCCCCCCCCAAAGAAAGAAAAAAGTCAAATTTTCAAATTTCGAGACCAAAAAAAAAAAAAAAGTGTCCGCTTTCTCTGCCATGATAGATACAATGTGACACAGTGCGATTATTTATGAGGAATATGACGATAGTATTTTCTCTCCTTCTTTTTTTCTATTTCTTTCCTTCGCCATCTTCTAGGCACATGCAAGTCTTTTCAATGAACCTTAAGTCCGAGCTGGGAGACCGAAGCAAGGTCCACCTCTATTTCATCTTCGCCCATTTTCTAGTCTACATCAACAGCACCGTCAACCCAGTTATCTACAACTTTTTAAGTGGTAAGTATACTAATACTACTACTACTTCTACTACTACAACTTCTACTACCACTACTACTACTACTAGGCCTACTACTTCTACTACTACTACTACTACTACTACTACTTTTACTACTACTACTACTACTACTACTACTACTACTACTACTTATACTACTACTACTTCTACTACTAGTAGAAGTAGTAGTAGTACTACTACTACTACTACTACTTTTACTACTACTACTACTACTACTACTACTACTACTACTTATACTACTACTACTTCTACTACTAGTAGTAGTAGTAGTACTACTACTACTAATAATATTACTACTACTACTTATATTACATCATGTATATACAACATCATGTAATAATACTACCTCTATTACTATACTACTACTACTACTACTACTACTACTACTACTACTTATACCTCTATTACTACTACTACTACTACTACTACTACTACTACTTCTACTACTACTACGACTACTGCAACTACACCTGTACTACTGCTAGTATTTCTCTTACTGATACTGCCACCTAATAATTTATCAAATATATCAATTTGAAGGCGGTTTCCCGGCAAAATTTGTATCATCACGTATTAGTCAAAACATATTCTTTCACATGATTGGTAATAAGAGCTTCCATTTCATTTGTGGAGAGGGGGCGTTTTCAAAACTGGTCTATACCTTTAAAAGAGGAAATTTCTACCCCTTTGGTTAAAGAAAGTGAAATTGATGAGAGCGCGGAGTGAAGGACGTTAACCCTTTGCTTACGGGAACCTGGTGGTCTCTGTGTTAAAGCCTATAGGACCTATACAATTCAGTAGTCAACGGGTTAACAGCCTCAATTAATAATAACTTTTGTTTATGTTTGTTCCTAAACAGCTAAATTTCGGCGCGAGTTTCGAACGGCCTTCGGAACCTGTGCCTGTTGCCCGCAGCCTACGCGAGACTCGACGGCCATCACGAGCACGGCTAGTCGACGCGCCCAACGTCCGAACCCGACGGGGAGAACGACCAGCACCGAATACATGCAGATGTCGAGGGTGACCACCAGAGCGAACAGACCCCAGTCAAGCTCCTCCGAATTTTGATGGACATTAATTACGATGGATCGGATTGGATAACAATGTGCCCTCCCATTTTGAATATATGATTCGGGGAAACCGTGGAATGTGGTAGTTTAAAGGGATTGGGTAACTTTGTCTCAGATTCTGAAACAAAATCCTGGATTTAGCTCATGATGCAATGATAATTATAAACCTTTGGGTCAGTCAGGAATCCATGACTTTTACAAGCCGATCGCCTGTCTGATTATCAAGATATTTACGATTGGAAATCGAAATCAGATTTTGCGTTTTCCTACCGGTTTTCATAACACTGCAGCCTATTGGAGAAAATGAACATGGTAAAACCTGTCACTAAAATATTTCTACTTTTTTGAGGCACTGCTTGATCATTTTGAAGCCCCCTCTTTTTTTTGTGGGGGGGGGGGGTGGGGGGGGGCAGGCGCGGATCCAGGATTTCTTAGGGGAGGGGGCCCAACTTTTTTTTTTTTGCTCCGGAAAATTTGAAAATCGCGCCGGCCGAAAAGTTGCTCAGTGGGGGGGGGGGGGGGGGGGGTAGTGAGCACATTTTTTTTTTTTTTTTTTTTTTTTTTTTTTTTTTTGCTCCCGAAAATTTGAAAAACGCGCCGGCCAAAAATTCACTCAGTGGGGGGGGGGGGGGGGGGGGGGGGGGGTAGTGAGCACATTTTTTTTTTTTGATCCTCAAAAAAATTTCAATTTGCACCCCCCCCCCCCTTGAGCGCCAGGGGGGGGGGGGCCAACCCCAAAAAATCGTAAAAATCACGTGATTTTACATGATTTTTTTCAAGGGGGGGGGGGCCCCCCGGGCCCCCCCCCCCCTGGATCCGCGCCTGGGGGGGGGGGGGCTTCAATATAACACCATATCACAGACACTGATAACACGTAGGGTCTCGCATCTCAGTTTTAACATTGCAGCCAATACTGCCTTTAATCTGCAGCCAATACTATGCGCCGTAGACAGGATGTGTTTTGCATGGGGGTAGGTGCACTAGGGGACTACTCTTTCTAATTAAGGGGGGGGGGGGGGGTACCATATTTATTTTGTGGTGAAGCACATACAATCACCCGCTAACATAGAATATTCTGCGTGGGTCCTTTATTTATCGACCAATCAAAATGCATTTAGTCGTAATTAAAACATGAAATGGTAATGCAGTACAACGCTTGAGCAGCGTTAGTAATTCTTATTCTTTAAGAATGAGGACCCCTTTTCCATCTCTCTTTTTTCAATGACTGGGAGAGGGGGAGGGGGTCACGTTCCCCCTTGGATACGCCAGTGCTAGTAAAGAGAAAGATTCGCATGTAAGTGCATTTGTCTCTCTACTCATGGAGCCGCAACAATACTCACAGACTGTGTGGGAGGGAACTGCTTGGGGCTGCGCACATGAGCGTGACACAAAACAAGCGAGCGTGCGCGTGTCACAAGTACATCACACACTACTGTGGTGTTAAAGCCTTTTGCTCTCACAGCAACACACGCACATTTTATTATCTGATGAACCCGTATGATGCTCAAAGCTAGCTTCAATAGTCATGGGAGTTTATCGTAAAACTGGTCATGACGCACAGACCCATCTATCTCTTTTCTTTCTTTCTAGCTTATCTTTTATGTGTGCGGATCATTTTACTATTTACGTTAGTTGTAGGGGCGTGCCCATTTTGTTCTGAATGCAGACTCAAGTACTACCTCGTTGCAAATAATTGGCGTCCGATTTGTCACGATTGAGAATGCATAGCGCCTGCCTAGTGGGTGAAGGGGTGGGGGACTTATGTTTGGTTCAGAAGGAGGTTTATGGTTTAAGTCTCCCTTGAAACCTTTTCCTATTTATTTAAGTCTTTTTTGGCGGACAAAGGTTTTATTTAGACATTAGATGAAGAAAAAAGAAGAAGATTTCTATCGTATTTATTTATTAGGGATTCGCACTGCATATAGGGAGAATAGGAATGACTGTGTTAGTCTAGAGAAAATACTAACCCATTGTAAAGGCCAAGATTTAAATGCGTGGCTACTTTTGAAGACGTTTCAATACAAAATTTCAAACGTTTAGGATTTCCTTTTTACGGGGTGGGGGAATAAAGGGAGGGGGAAGGTTTGGATGGTGGTGAAGCGCCCAATTACAGCAGCACATTCCCCGTTGTTCGTATTAGTCCGGTACCCCCTTCCCCCTCCCCATGAATAGCTTCCTGGTTTACCCTTCTAGAACCAACTACAATCCCTCATTCATACCGACATGACCAGAAAAAGCAAAAATTGCATTACACCAAATATCCAAGTTGTAGTTAGTTTTTTTCGCGTTCATTTGTTGTAGGTGTGGCGGTTAGGCTAGGGCGTTTCCACTGTTGCACGGTTATTACACAATGACCCACTGGTAAATTATCATTATACATGCTTGTAAAAAGAACCCAGTCGTTGAGTCGTTGGGATGGAGGAGCTACATATATTTTTGTACAAAAGAAATATATCATGTTCAAGTTGAACCGTTGTATATTATGAAGTAACTTGTTTTCTCCCTTTTTTCTTTTTGTAAACGAATACCATTCGTAAAAAATCATGTAAAATGTAAGAAAGAAGACTTTGCATTATAATTTGTAAACATTTGCTTACCAATCAATAATCCCTTATACCGAGAGGCCTCGGGTTTGTACGACACTCATTCTGACGCCAATTACTCTATAAAGACTATCTATCTATGTAAGTATCTTCTCCCGGTTCGGAGGTTGATTGCAACATCTCTCCATTTTACTCTTTCTTTTGTCATTCTGGTGCATTCTTGCAGTTTGAGTGCACTCCAGTGGACATAATTATATCAACTGAATTATTAGTCCTGGACAAAACACGACAAGGCTTTCATTATGCTTGAAGTTTAAGCCAACCTATTAGTAGAAAACTACTTTAAAAGAAGGCAGGAAAATCAGAGATGCAGACTGGACCAGGTGCAAGTTTGAACGAAATCAGAAAAAATAATAAGGTTATGAATTTTGAAATTCGTAATGAAACTTCAAATTGGCTGAATCGGTAGTGTCGACGCAGTGCCAGCCAATTATCCCATTTGTTCGTAAAACAAAGTGACTCCCATTTTCATATCAAACTTCCAATACTTTTTCCTTCTCTAAGAAATCTTCAAATCTCTTAAAATTTGGAATTTATCAATGATTATTTTGTGTGTTCAGATTCTTAATCATTAAGATTTTACCATTTTGGACGTTCATATCAAATTATATTGCAAATTGTTTTTTCCAAAATCGAACCGTAGTCAGATCGTATAATGTGCGGTGTGCCGAACACGTCATCGCAACCTTCAATCGAAAAAAGCCTTGAGCTTCGGCGCCAGAGCATTATGTCGGCGCACTCACCATTGAGTTCGCGTTTAAAAGATTACAAATTGATATCACACAAATTCTTTCATCCATGATGGTAACCATTGTAAATATCATAATAAGTAGGGGCGTATTTTTGTTTACTTTTGTGCATTTCCTGTTGTTTTCTCATTCATTTACTGAAAGGAGCGGCTTTGTTTGCACACTAGGGACTTTTAGATTTGCACAACGACACCGTGGATTGCTACGATCGACGTCTTTTTAATGCACTGCCTTGAATGGACGTCACACGTATCAGTCCACGCAAATCTAAAAGTCCCTACTATCTGCTAATGAACGTCATTCGAGCAAGGTATTACCATACGATGCTGTAAAAATTAATCATCACACACTGACACTTTGATAGTAAACAAAACATCAGAACTAGAGTTATTAATATAAACATGAACACCGGTACGTGAACATGTCCTGAAATAATTATCACATAAAATGGCATTGAATTAAACTTTGGTTTTACTTGGGCATAAACTGAAGCACGAGGTAAAAAAAAGTGCATCGGTTGTACGATGTTGTCTTGTGCAACAATGGCTCCGCTGTCACAAAATTCCAACTTCAACCCTCGACCAATTAACCTAAATCAAGCCCTAAAGCTAACATTTATATTGCAACCCTCATTTCAGTTAAAGCCGTATTGAAACCCTAGCACTTAGATTTTACTGATGACGAAACAATTCTAGGATGAATTAAAGAGCTTAATTAAAAAAAAGGAGTTAAATCCACTTTGGATGAAAATTGAGTTATTGATGTCAGAGCATTGTTTACTTAAGTACTCGTCTTTCAACAAAATAATTTTCCTAAATTTTGGGAGCAATTATGAAAAGATGCACCTTCTAATATTACTTTTTTCATAGACGCCTGTACAATATCTGTTAAACAATTCCTTTTTTCTCCAAGTTACAAAAATGAATTTAGCTCCTTTGGAATTAAACTCTTCAATTGTCGCCAGAGCAAATTTCGCCAGTCGAAATGTCGGATCACCTCGGCATAGGAGTATCGACCTGCCAAATATAGTGTGCATTCCACCCAAGATGATGCTAAGCATTAAAGATAAACTCCAGTACTGGTAAAAAAAAAAAATTAATTCTCACAGAATCAAACGAAACTTACACTGAATGTTCAAGATTACAAGTAAATGACATGTGCCAAACAATTTTGGAAGAAAATGTATACTGGCTGAGTAATGAGCATAGAAAGACAAGGAAATCAAGGTAGTACTAGCCCCGACACCATGTGTGTTGTCCCATATATAGCTTTCTATGTGAGTGCTTGTTACTTTAACAAGACTCGATCAAATTTATTATGATTTTGATGACTCCAGAACCTTGCAGTGCACACCAATACTTACATGCTACATGATCAACTGTTTCTGATCCTTTCCACACCTTTTCTTTCACAATGCAATCGCATTACCAGTACTAAAGTTTATCTTTAATTTTAAAGACAAGAGTTAGTGTTGGGCGAGGAAAAGGGAAAGGACATTATTGAAAGTTGCTTTATGTGTGATTTTCTTTATGAATGTGTTTGTTTAAATGGTTTTATGATGCTTTAAAGATGTATTTGATTGTGTTAAAGGCTAACTTTTTTCAAGGTAAAGTTAACCCAAATTTTGGATAAAAAGGGAACATGCTTGCCTGTTCGAGGAAAGAAAAAATACGGATAACTGGGCTAGATTTGAGGCATTTAACATGAGTTTTCCTTTTTTACCAAGTATCTTTGTACAATTTTACCCAATTTACTTCAAATATATACCTTCATGGCACGTTACCGA